AGAACTCCTTTGACTAATTCATCTGACAGATATTTTTTGAGCAGCTGCCAGGTGCCAGGCAGCATTCTAGGCACCTGAGACACAGTAGCGAACAAGACAGACAGTGAGCACCTGCTCTCTGGGAGCTGGCGTTCCAGAGCCCTGGCTGCTAAGGTTGGTGTTGGAGACTCTGGTTACAGAAAATGGTCCCAGGAGGAAAGGAGACCAGAGAAGAGATTGTTGCCCAGAGTGTGAGAGAGACCCCGTCCCCCTCCATCTGGGCCCACCTGCCTTCTGGGGCCCCAGCTGTGCAGAGCACAGAGCAGCCTGCCTGTGAGTTCTGACTCTGCCACCCAGCAGCCACGTGGCCTTGGGCAAATCCATCTAGCTGAGCCTCAGCTTCCTCACCTCTAAGACAGTGAAAATAAGACAGTCTACCAGCAAGGGCCGTTTGCAGAATAAAGGAGACAGTGCAGGTGAAAAAGCCTCCTTGCGGTGCCTGCCACAAAGGAAGCACTAAGGGACTGGGACAAATTCATTTTCTTCATACACTTTAACCACAGTGACACATCACAGCAGACTGAACGCAGAAGCAGAGATGAGAATCCAGTCGCCAGACAATAAAGAGGTTTGCTCTCCCCTCCAATTATCTTCATTAAAAACATATTATTTCTATGAACATGCAACAGGTTTATTAAATATAGTTTTTAAGCTGTCAGCTTTATTTTCTAATCCAGTAAGCACTGAAAGATGTAACCTACATCAGGGAAAGCCCTTCAGAGTCTGGGTGACTTTTAAGATGGTAAAGGGGTGCTGAGACCATGAAGTCTGAGAACTGTGGCTCCAGGCTTTCTCAAGCCAGCTCTTTTGCAACTTGACAAATCCCCCCACCCACCCCCACCTCTGCCCCGCCCCACCCCGTGTGGTAATTGCACAACTTACAATTGGAAAGTTTTTGAGATCTCAAGAGATAACTTCCTGGTGCAGATGGATGTTGAGAAGGGAACTGGTTTTTGTGTGTGTGTGGTTCTTTGTTTGTTTGTTTGTTTGTTTAACTTTTGGGGGGTTAATTAGATTTATTTACTTATTTATTTTTTAGAGGGGGTACTGGGGATTGAACCCAGGACCTCATGCATGCTAAGCATGTGCTCTACCACTTGAGCTAGACCCTCCCAAGAAGGGGACTGCTTTGCCTGAGGGTTTTAGGTATCAGTTCTACCCAAAACTAGAACCAGAATCCAAACTCCTGTCTTCTTGGCCTTGGGATCTTGTCATGATGGCAGGCTGACTTCTTTACCCCGGGCTGGTTAGGAATCGGTCAGGCACGTTCTCAGCCTTCTGTTCACTCAGCTCCAAAAATCCCAAACGAACACAGGATCTTCTCCCTCCACTCTCCTAACGCTGCCCCACCCCTGCCTCCCACCTCCCTCCTTGAGTACCTCAGCACCAGCCCAAGGGCACAGCAGAGATGACATTGTCACTCTTACTCCTTTCCAACTAGCAAAGAACTTGAGAAAGTGAGGAGACAGCTATAGTACCCATACATCTTACATGTATATCCTCTGCCCTTGGGGAAGGGCTTATGGTGTGCCAGGCACTGTGTTAAGCACGACACTAGCCCAACTAATCCTCATGCTTCCTCACCACCCATAAGATAGGTACTATTTGTTATTCCCATTTCACAGATGAGGAAACCGTGGAAAAGAAATGAATGAAGTAAGTGACTTTATCCAAGGGTGCAAAGCTAATGCTTGGCTGAGGCAAGACTAGAACTCAGCCTGCCTGGCAAATCTGTTGGGGGCTGAGGAGATCAGGACTTCACCAGGCTGGTAGGAACAGGACCAAAATCTAAGCCAGCTAATGGTAGCAATGGAGGCATGACTGAGCAAAACTGGTCAGAAGAGGACAAAACCAAAAAGAGAAAAGAGATGTGATTTGCCCCTGGGACTGAAGACAGAAGATTGCCTGTGTCTGGTGTCACTGTGGGCAGAGTCATGCGTTAGATTCTATCCCTTTACCAACTTGACTTTGTCATAACACAAAGGTTCAAGTCCTAGCTTCACCTGCCACTTGCTGTGAATTTGGGGCAAGTAACTTGCCCTCTCTGAACCCATTTGCTCAAGGAACGCTACCTGCCTCAGATAATAGCTGTGAGGCCTCCCCTGCTGTGCAAACTGTCGAGTATGATATGAATATGGGCATTACTCGTCCATTCTCTAAAAAAGAAGTGGCTGGAATATAAGGTGGTTGAAAAGAGGAAGAAGATATTTGAAAACACTCTACAAAACTGTCCTGTGGGCAGATTTCAGATTAGTCAGTTAATCTACCAAGTATTTGAAGGATGTGAAGAATGTAAAGCAATAGGATGGGTCTTCAGAAGAGAACAAGGGCACAGGTTCCTGGTGGCCCCAGCCAGTCTCTCAACATCCATGGACCCCAATTTCCTCATCTATCAAATATGGAAAATAATAATAAGACCAGGTTTAAATAAGATACTGAGCAGAGAATGCTAGCACAATGCCAAGCACCCATCATCACTATCCTCCAATCTTCCTTTCAGATGGCAGTCCTGGGGCGACAGAGAGCAAGTGACTTCTCTGTAGAATTAACCGGTGCCAGGCTCAAAGCCTGAGTATCTGCTTCCTAACTTGGGGCCCTTTTCTCTCTGCTACGTCAAACACACGCTCTATCGTTCAATCAGGCAGCCAAGCTACTGCTTCGTTATTTTAAACAATTATTTAATCTGCACATCAAGAATGCAGGTATTACAGGGGAAAAAAATTTGTAACTCAGAAATAAACTTGTGAACAGTTAAAAAAGAAGAAGCAGCAGAACACAGGTATTTGTTTCCCCAGCTACAGATGAAGAACGTGAGGCTCATAGAGTCTGAGTAACTTGCCCCAAGATCACACAGCTCATCAGTGGCAGAGCTGGGATTTGAATCCAGCAACGCGTCATTCCAAAGCCTGGCATTTAACCTTCACTACAGAAGAAAGACGACTCAGATATCATTCAGCTAAATTCCTTCTGAGAGAGAGGCTACACATGATACAGCCAAATGCGGAAGGAAAGTCCAGGCAGAACGGGTGTCCAGACAGCAGGTGGGAACCCCACAGACCCCTGGGTGGAGAGGAGGCATGGTGAGTGGACTGCAGACTCAGGACAGAATCCGTAGTCCCCACAAGGCAGACTCATGGGGACTGGGTTTCTTTGACAACCAATAGACATTTGAGAAAGGAATTATAGAGGAAACCTTAATGATGATCTTTTGTCCCAAGTCTGTAAATTACAAATTCTTTCCTAAAAGCACTGGAGGTGGCCTATGTTATGAATTAGGACGGTCAAAATAAAAGCAAAGCACTGGAAACCTGTAAAAGGAGCAATAAGTGAATGAGGAACCAGCCTCAGGACTCAATCAGCCAGGACTGCCAGCCTGCTTTGCATTTAGCTCTGAGCTTCCTGGCAGCTGAAGCAAAAGGAAATACGAAAGTCTGTCTGAAGAAATCTGCTTTTTTTCCTAAGAGACATTTGTTCGGTCATTCATTCAATAAATTAAAATATTTAAGTGCCTACTTTGTGCCAGGCCCTGTGCTCAAGGGCTGGAAGTCCCAGGAGGAATGGATGAAAGAAATGAGTTTGAGAAATAACCCCTTTGGCAGCCTAGTGCATCACCCCCCACCTCCTCACCCCTGCCCCAGGGCAATTTCCATACCTTGCCTCGCATCAGTAAACTTCTCCTGTGACTTGTATCACCTGAGAAATTTTAAGTTCCTTTCCTCACATGCTGTCCCATCTCCCCTGCCAAAACCATTTTAGAAATGACTATCCTAGTGGTCTGTTTACAAGGTCAAAGAGCCTGGAATCTTCTAGTTAACTTTCTGCTTTTTGACTTGCTGCTTGTGGTTCTGCCACTTCCTGCAAGTCTGGATCTGTGGGTCAGGAGCACTATGGGGAGAAGCTCAGAGTGAGGCTTAGGGTGCCGGATGGGGCTGATGGGTGATGTCTACCATGGCTTGTGAACAGGGAGTGGTGGCTCAGGGGGCATCAGATTGCCTTGTGGGCTGAGTCCATCTCCAGAGGGCTACTTAGCTTAGCTCAGGTCCTCCATGAAAAGATCTCAACCAAGAATCTACTGGAGGCTCTTTTTGGTGCGAGGGGGAATAGAATACAAAGATGTCTCCACTCCTTGACCCAGATTCTACTCTCAAGATTACAAGCTCATAGTCCAGGAAGCAGGGTGAGGAATGGATGCAAGTAATGGAAGGTAGACAGTGATCCATGCAGTAGGACTCAATGAGTTTCATCCACCTGGAGGTGTAAGGTAAAGAGAAACCAAAGAATACTTCCTGGAGGAGGTGGCTTTTGATAGAGGGCCTGAAAAAAGTAAGATTTGGGCAAAGAAACATAGCCCACAGCCCAGAACTCCGGAAAACTATCTTGCAACCAAGGGCTACCAAGCACAGAGGGGGACTAGGAGAAGAAATGTGGAAGGAAGTTCCCATGACATCCTTCCTACCACAAGACATAGTGCCAAGAGCCCAGCCTGCTGTGAAGCAAGACAAGAAAGTCACCTTGGTCTATTACCGGTGGATCGCTCATGCCAGCCAAACAGGGTTTTTTTTAATGTGATGGTCTGGCCTTCATGGTAGTAAAGTGTCAGCTGAGGATGAGTGGAGAGCTTTTCTGCCTGCTTCAGTTCTCAGAAGAGATTTGGACAAGACAAGCATGGAATCCTGTAAGAATCCTATAAACAAACTCTATTGAATATTTCCTGCCTTTCATTAGCCAGGCCCAGCACCATACATTTAGTAAATTTTGACCACTTGATTGCACAACAATGTGATATGGATAGTATTTCTCCCAGTTTACAGATGAATGAAACAGAGACTCAGATAGGTGAAGTAACTTGCCCAACATCACACAGCCCATAAGGTACAGAGCTGGATTTGAATCCAGGGAGATCTGGTTGCCAAGCCTGTGAAATGGGAAGCCAACATGGTGAGTTTCTGGGAGAAGACCTAAGAAGTGATGCAGTCAATCCACCTGCTTCGAAGATGAGAAAAGAAAGACCCAGGAAGAAGGGACCTGCCCAAAGCCACTCAGTAGCAGAACAGGGACTGGAACCCAGGCATCCCCATGCCCAGTCAGAGATCAAAATAATGGCTCTTGGCCTCCAATCTCAGCTTCTCACTGCAGGTGTATCAGGGCCGTACCCTGTCTTACTTCACGCATTGTCCCTGGTGCCTTCAGGCTTTCAACACAGCAGCACAGAGGGACCAGCTGTGACTGTAGCGTGCTTTCACTTCACATTTTCAGTTCAGATTGGAAAAACCCCAGGTGTACCTTTTCCTGAGAGTTTCCCAGCACTCAAGTTTCCCTTCCCAGACACCAGGCAGGAGTCAGGGCTCCAGGCCTCGGACCCCCACCGCAGCATGGACGCACTCTCTGGGGAAAGAGCCTCAGATAGCTTGGGGGGCATTGGCATTTTTCTTAGGTGGGGAAAGCACTCTATTGGTTCGTTCTCTTTTAATATTACGTTTGTACAGTATCAGGTCACAGAATATTTTTGCATGCCTCGGTGGCTCCTAATATTTGGAACTCCACAAACACATTGATTTAAAAAAAATTAAAAAAGAACCATTTCACCCTAACAAACACACAGACATAAAGTCCTACTGAAAAGATTAAAGAGCCATGGTGGCGATCATCAGCTGATTCAGTTTTCCCAAGGAAAATGGGATAGGCATTGTCATTGTCATTTCACAAATGAGAAGAGGGGCTCAGAAAGTTGAAGGGACTTGCCCAAAGTCACATGACAAGCCATGGCAGAGGTGGAAGTGGAAGAGCTGTGCAGCGCAGCAAACACTGAGTCTTTCTCTGGGCTGGGCATTTGGACAAGTCCTCGCCCTAGAGGAACTCATCTGGAAGCCAGAAGCTCTGACTCTGATAGAAAAGGGATTTCTATCTGCTCAGAGGGAAGGCAGGCCGGGAGCTGGGTTTCCTGTTGCTCTGTGCGTCCTGTTGTCGGATGTTGTCTTGTTAGGACCTCCATTCAAATGCCTGCATTTCCTGCCCTGATTTAATTTGGACAGAAACCACAGGTTGGTGGCCACACCAGGCCTGGGTGAGGCACAAATGCGGGCCACTGCCACCCCAGCGTTCCTCTTCTAGGCTGGACTCTGTGTGGGGTAAGCCATTCTCTGATGGGAGGGGGCTGTTTCCTAAGGGAACTATGAGAAGAGAGTGGGAGGGGGATGGGACCTGGGCTGCAGGAGTGCAGGGAGGAAGCTTCCAGAATGGCAGGGTGGGGATGTGGGAGCTGACAAAGGCATACACTAGCTGTAACTCATTCGTGTCCAGGGCTGAGGACTTGACTGGCACCATTTCCTGTCTTACTCAGGGGTGACTGTGGCAACATTCAGCAAAGGGCATCGGTCTCAGGGAAATACCCCTTTTTAGCTTTTTGAGGTAGGATGCTCCTCTTGAGACCCTGAATCCTGGGTCGTCTCTATGCTTACAGAGCAAGAGTTCTGATTGCGATTTGAGGGATGTGATGTTCCAGCTCTGCATTGAGTAACCGTAGGATATTACATCCCCACCCTTAGGCTGTTCCCTTGATGGTAAAATTATAGAGTTGGATTAGATGAGAGGTTTTCAGTCTGTTCCTTGGATCCTCAGGGCTCCACAGAGGAATCTGAGCTGCCCAGAAGGGAGGACAAAGGTGACATGAACTCAGATTCTACTTGATTTATGAAAAAGAGTTCCATCGATGATAAAAAGCATTCTGCTCTCTTAAAAAATTTTAAAACTCTGGATTAAAGGCTGCCACTTATTAAGCTCTTATAACACACTAGGCATATTATTCTCAACAACCTCACTGAGCAGGTGAATTATCCCCATTTGGAGATGCTCCTAATGATAATAATAACAATAATAAGCCTTTCCATGGGTTATATTAATTTACTTAAATCCTCACAAAAAAACCCATTTTGCAGATGAGAAATGGGAAAACCGAGGCATTAAGTATCTTGAACAAGGTCACTGGGGTAGGATTTGAATCTCCTGTTTGATGTACTTTCCTCTCCCTGACACTCTTACTTGGGATCTATTTATTTGGAGACAGCCTTTTCCATCCAAATGGGTTCCAAACTCCTCCTCCAAGTAGTTTAACTTCTCTGAGCCTCCATTATCCATGAAATCACAATAATTGTAATTCTTACATCAGTGATTATGCGGATTACATTAGATTGTGGCTGAGAAAAATATTTTGTAGAAGTTGAATTCCATACCAGTGTTGGTTAATGCACTTATTAATCTGGTTGGAGACAAGACTAATGCAGAACTGGTTATAATACACGCAGACTAAGGCTGGGAACGTGGTGTGTGACTCGGGATGGTGGTGGCGGGGGTTGGTCAAGCGAGCCTTCACTGAGTGAAAGATGAGTCCAAGAGAATGGTGAGCCAGGGAAAGGAACCCTGGGGGCAAAGGGGCAAGAAAGCAGAACTATTTGGGGAATTGTGTTAGCCAGTAGTGCTGCACAGGGGCTCCCGCAGCGGCTGTGGAGGAGTACGCTTCTGACCTTGCTGTCAGCACAGTATAAAAATGATCAATGAGCTCTTTTACCTTCTTTTTTCCGTACTGTCTTTGAAATCTGGTGTGTATTCACACATAAGGCACATCTCCATTCAGACTAACCACATTTATGGTGCAGGTAGACAGAGCTGGAGTTGAACTCCAGTTCTCACACTTAAATAACTAGGTCATCCTCAGCAAGTACCTGCAGTGTCAAGCTCTCTTCTAAGTATATTTTATGTATTAATTCACTTAGCCCTCATAAAATGAATTATCGCTACGGTGGGCTACCATCATTATCCCCATTTTATAGACAAGGAAACTGAGGACCGAAAGCTCAGAGAGCTCATCATTCCTAAGCCTTCTTCCTCTATAAAGTGAGCATCAGCACACCCTACCCTGGAGGTTCTTGTGAGGGGAGATTTGAAAATGCTGTGGAGGGGGAAGCTGCAGCTCAGTGGTAGAGTGTGTGCCGGGCATGCACAAGGTCCTGGGTTCAATCCTCTATACCGCCATCAAAATAAGTCAACTTAATTACCTCCCCCACCTTAAAAAAGAAAAGAAAGAAAAGGAAATGCCGTGAAGTTCCCAGATACAGCAAGACACCTCTGCCCTGGAAGCCACAGACCTCTCTCTTCCCAACACCCACTCCCTGAGAACCTCTCTCAAGACCAGGGTGAGGAAAGCGGGGAGCTCACCTCAGCCACAAAATTTAAATGAGTGCCAAAAAATTCTATTTGAGTTTAAATAAAACATTTAAACCTTATAAAATACTGTTGTGAATTTTCATGTGCCTACTTTTCCATTTTTCAATAGTAGCTACTTTTTAGTGTCTTAATGTTTAATGTTTTGAGGTACAGGGGGCAGGAAACCACTAAAGAATACATAGAAATGCCTACATAAAAGAGTGCTTTTCTTTTTTGCTTTTGTCTCAGTCAAGGCATTGCTTTCTAGTCTAGTCTGGAAAAAACCCTGCCCTCCCTCCTACTTCTCTAATTCCTCTGCTACTGCCTACAAGTTTTCTTCTCTTCATCTATGTTATAAATCCTCTCCATTCGTCTAAGGGAATTGGACTTTGGGCTCAATGTTGTGTGGTTAAGATTTATCCTTGTTGATACATATAGTTCTGGTTCATTTTTTACTGCTTTGTGTATTTCTTTCTATGAATGTACTATAATTTCTCCATTTTCCAGTTGATGGACATTTTTTTCTTTTTTTTTTCTTGCTATTTCAAAAATGCTGAAATGAACACACTTGTACGTGTCTCCTTGGGCACATTCTCAGGAGTGGAATTGGTGTATCCAAGGGAAGGGGCTCATCTTCAACATTGTGAGATTTTACCAAACTGCTCTCCAAAGTGTTCGTGCCAACTGACACCCTCATCACAGCGCTGAAATTTCTTGCTCCACACCTTCTCTAGTGCCTGACATTGTCACATTCATTTTTTTTGCCAGTCTATGGGAGTGAAATTTGCATTTCTGTGGATCTGTTGAGGTTCAATACCTTTTCTTTCATGCCTGGTATTTTTCTTATTTGTGGGTTCTCTCCTTTTTCTTCAAGTAAACTTGCCTGAGGTTTGTCTGTTTTATTATCTTTTCAAAGAACTAGTTTCAGTTTTTGTCAGGGCTTTTTATTCTCTATTGTTTTCCCACGTCATCAATTTCGGGTCTTATTATTTCCGTCTTCTGCCTGCTTTGTATTTATGCTGTTGTTCTTTTTCTAATTTTGTGAGTTGGATGTTTAGCTCATTAGTCTTTTTTCGTTTCTTATATGAGCATGGAGGGCTATAAATTTCCCTTTCAGTATCCATGAATTTTAATACACTACAATTCTAAGTATTTTCTAACTTCCTTTATGATTTTTTGATTCAGAAGCTTCATACCTGCGAAATTTGTTAGTTACATTTTTTAAGTTCTTGATTTCGAAATAAATTGCACTGTGGTCAGAAAAAGTGGTTTGTATGTTACAAATTACTTAAAAATGTATTGTGATTTGCTTTTCACCTAAGGTGAGGCCAGGTTTGGTAAATGTCCACATTTGCTTGAAAACAGTGAGTATTCTCTAATTATTGGGTGCTAAGTTCCATATATAACTGTTAGATCAAGCTTGTAATTACACGGTCAAATTTTATATATCCTATCAACAAGTATATTATCTGCTTAATCTATCAACTTCTGAAAGAGGAATGCTAAAAATCACTCACTATTCAATTCCACTTCAGTTCAGTTCCACATTTATTGAGTACCTATTATGTACCAGAAACTATTCTAAGTCCTTATATCAGTAAACAAAATAGTCAGTTCCTTGACCTTAGGGAATTCAAATTCTAGTGGCAATAAACAATAAAGCATAATAAACAGGTAAATTATGTAAATTATATGTTCAGTGATAAGTGATATGGAAAAAATACATATAGAGCAGAGTGAGGGGGACCAGAAAAGCAGGAGGGTGAGGTGAGTTACAATTTTAAATAGGATGATAGGGTGGATATCATTGAAAAGGCAAAATTTCAGCCACAACTTGAAGAAGGTAAGATTGAACCAAGCGTAGAAAAGAGTAAGGCAGCGGGAACAGATTGTGCAAAGGCCCTGTGGCAGGAGAGAGAATCCATTAGTAAGCTAGTGTGGCCAACACTAGTTGATCAAGGGAAGCATGGTTAGTAGGGAGGGCAGAGTGATAATGGGGCCCGAACACACGCAGACTTCTAGGCCATTGTAAGTACTTTGGCTTTTATGTTGAGTGGAATAGGTGCCATGTGGGGTTTGGGAAAGAGGAGTGGTATGATCTGACATATTTTAAAAGGATCACCCTGGCTGTTGTGCTGAAATTAGACAGGCCTGGTTAAAAACAGGGAGTCAGTTAGGAAGCTATTATAGTAAATCAAGTAAGAGACAATGCTCGATTTTTTAAAGCCTAAATTTGATCAATGCCTTTATTCACTTCCTAAATAAAGCTTCAGCTCTATTCAGCTCTCTCTTGGCTTGTGTTACTTGTCATTCTCGTGTTACTGTCATTCACGATTTCACTTCCACTTTGTTTTTATATCCTCCAAATCAGACTCAGTCATTTATTATTATTATTACTTTATACAGACATTTGTTTCATTTACACATTAATTTATCAACTCATTTGTTCACAGTTCCTTCTTGCCTTTCTGTTTCTTCCTGCTATGAAGAATCTCCCTCTCCTTTAGAATTTCCTTAAAGGATGGCATATCCTTCTGATGTTCCTTCAGTGAAGGTCTATTGGTGGACAGTTCTATTTCTATTTTTTTATTTTAAGTGATAGTTTAGCTTTTTTCCTTCCATCTTCTGGCTACTATAATTGTTACTGGCAAATCTGCTTTTAAATGTAATGGTGATTCCTTTTTCTGATAGTGTGTCTTCTCTCTCTGATTGCTTTTCTTTTTCTTTTTATAGTATATATATATTTATTGACGTATGGTTAGTTTACAGTGTTGTGTCAATTACTGGTGTACAGCATAATGCTTCAGTCATACATGAACGTACATACATTTCTTTTCATATTCTTTTTCACCATAAGTTGCTACAAAATATTGATTATCGTTCCCTGTGCTATACAGTATGAACTTGTTTGTCTATTTTATATATATGAGTTAGTATCTGCAAATCTCAAACTCCCAATTTATCCCTTCCCACACCCTTCCCCTCCCCATAACCATAAGTTTGTTTTCTATGTCTGTGAGTCTGTTTCTGTTCTGAAAATAAGTTCGTCTTTTTTTTTAGACTCCACATGTAAGTGTTATCATATGGTATTTTTCTTTCTCTTTCTGGCTTACTTCACTTAGAATGACAGTCTCTAGGCCCATCCATGTTGCTGCAAATGGCATTATTTTATTCTTTTTTTTCCTTTTTCAGTTTCATTAGGTAGAATTATTACAGTTTGACTGCACATATACATTATATTGCATGTAAATACATATATAATATACTGCACATATTTTTTTAGTTTCATATATGTACTGATCATTGTTTCTAAGAACAGATCAGAGCTTTAACTTTTTTAACTTAACATAGTTATCAAAGGAATAAAGCCAATCATAAAATAAGAATCAACAGAATGCAGTAATCCAATTATAAAGGACAGTCAAACGTGCTTATGCATATTTAAGAAATCAATCATCTAAGTTATAAATAATAAGTAGTTCATTTGTGGCCTTATTTTTTTTTTAGATTCCACATGAGTGATATAAAATGGCATTTTTCTTTCTCTTTCCAGCCCACTTCACTTAGAATGATGATCTCCAGGTCCATCCATGCTGCTGCAAATGACATTATTTTATTATTTTTTATGGCTGAGTAGTGTTTCACTGTATATATGTACCACAGTTTCTTTATCCAGTCATCTGTCGATGAACATTTATGCTGTTTCTATGTCTTGGCTGTTGTAAACAGTGCTGCTATGAACACTGGGGTGCATGTATCTTTTTGAATTAAGTTTCCCTCTGGATATATGCCCAGGAGTGGGATTGCTGGATCATATGGTAAATCTATTTTCAGTCTTTTGAGGAATCTCCTTACTGTTTTCCATGACAGCTGCACCAAACTACATTCCCACCAACAGTGTAGGAGGGTTCCCTTTTCCAACGTTTATCATTTGTGGACTTTTTAATGATGGCCACTCTAACTGGTGTGTGGTGATATCTCATTGTAGTTTTGATTTGCATTTCTCTGATAATTAGCGATACTGAGCATTTTTTCATGTGCCTATTGGCCATTTGTATGTCCTCATTGGAGAATTGCTTGTTTGAGTTTTCTGCCCATTTTTGGATTGGGTTGTTTGCTTTTTTATTATTAAGTTGTATGAGCTGTTTGTATATTCTAGAATTTAAGCCCTTGTCAGTCTCACGTTTTGCAAATATTTTCTCCTGTTCTGTAGGTTGTCTTTTTGTTTTGCTTATGGTTTCCTTTGCTGTGCAAAAGCTCATAAGTTGAATTAGGTCTCATTTTTTTTATTTTTGTTTTCATTTATATTGCCTGGGTAGACTGCCCTGGGAGAACATTGCTGAGATTTATGTCAGAAAATGTTTTGTGTATATTTTCTTCTATGAGGCTTATAGTGTCTTGTCTTGTGTTTAAGTCTTTAAGCCATTTTGAGTTTATTTTTGAGTATGGTGTGAGGAGGTGTTCTAATTTCTGATTGCTCTTAATTTTTTCCACTTGTCTTTGGCATTCTAGAGTTTTATTATGATGCATGTGAATGAAATTCTGCTTGAAGTGCACTGTGATTTCTGAATCTGAGGAGTTATGTCCAAGAGAACTCTGGGTAATTCTCCACCATCATCTCTTTGCATATGGCCTCCCCAATGCCTAAAACCAATTCTATTCTTTCCTTCTGAAACTCCTGTTAAATCCATTTTAAACCTTTTCATTCAACCTTTCATGTCTCTTAACCTCTCTTTCATATTTCCCATCTCTTTATATCCTTGTGCTGCATTTTGAGAGGTTTCTTCAGCTCCACCTTTGAGATCAATGCTTTTCAACTAGTCTGTTCTGCTCTGTGACCTACGTTTGAGAATTTCTTTTTTCAATGACTTTACTTTTCACTTCCAGAAATTCTACTTGATCCTTTTCCAGATCTGCCTAGTCTCTCATTAAGTAATCCCTTTTTTGATTCCTTATTGTTTAATCATATTAAACATATTTTATAACATAAACCCAAAAATTATATGAAGTCCTTGGAAGTCTAATTTTATTTAGACATTTCTGCTAACTTTTATTCATGTTTCCTTATGCATTTTGTAATTTTGCATCTTGAGCTCAAATTCCATGGGCCTCTTTATATGTGGAAATCGTGTGTGACCTGGCTAGAGAGTACATCCCTCTAGAGAAATTTTGAGCTGAATTTCTAATAATATCTAATAATGTCCCATTCAATATTTGGGTGCCCTGGGTTTTCTTCTCAATATTTAGGACATACTTATACTAAAAAATAATTCATTATCTGACATTCAAATATATCTAGACTCCTCTGTTTTATCTGGCAAAGCAAGTGGTATGAAACCAAAGGCATGTCTCCCACAAATTTCAGCATCTTACTTACCAAAACTGGCAAACAAAGCAAAATAAAACACCAATGCGTAAACATCACTCTGGAATTCACTCTGGATTCCATGTTTTCTTGGTTTGGATTTCCTCTCGGCTTTTGACCCTTGGAGATTTCGTATACTTTTGAAAGTAAATCTTAGGTGGAGACTTTTTTTTTAAGGCCAAAAACTTGCAGATCACTTCTGCTTCTTGAATTCCCACAGATCTCTCCTAAGGCAACCAGTACAGACCTAGCACCCTTCTAGGATGGATGGAGAAAGGGTAAAACACAGAGCAACAAATATAAATCATCCTTTCAACATATGACTCACACAGGTAAAGGATTCGACTAGAGTCTGTGATGAGTGAGGTTATTATTGCCCTGATTGAAAAAGACTCACTTGGAGTGGGAGAGAGTGCTTAGCATGCACAAGGTCCTGGGTTCAATCCCTGATAACTCCTCTAGAAATAAATAAATAAATAACCTCCTCTTCCCAAAAAATGAAAAAGACTCATTTCTTCTTCTCATTGTACTACAGCAAGGGCCTCTTGGCAAGCCCAGCAGAAGCTGAGAGACCCTCCCCATGGAGCGATGCTGGGAGACAGAGGCAGCCAATGGCTCCCGGGATGGCTTGGATTTCAACCCCATGAAGGATTACATGGTCCTGAGCAATTCCCAGAAGATAGCTATCGCAGTGCTGTGCACCTCCCTGAGCCTGCTTAGCGCCCTGGAGAACCTTGCTGTGCTCTACCTGATCCTGTCCTCACATCGGCTCCGCAAGAAGCCCTCGTATCTGTTTATCAGCAGCTTGGCTGGGGCTGACTTTCTGGCCAGTGTGATCTTCGCCTGCAACTTTATAAATTTCCACGTCTTCCACGGCGTGGATTCCAAAACTGTCTTCCTGCTGAAGATTGGCAGCGTGACTTTGACCTTCACAGCCTCTGTAGGCAGCCTGCTGCTGACTGCCATTGACCGCTACCTCTGTCTACGCTACCCACCTACATACAAAGCGTTACTCACCCGTGGGAGGGCACTGGTGACCCTTGGCTCCATGTGGGTCCTCTCAGCATTGGTCTCCTACCTGCCCCTCATGGGATGGACTTGCTGTCCCAGGCCCTGCTCTGAGCTTTTCCCCCTGATCCCCAATGACTATCTGCTGGGCTGGCTCCTGTTCATCGCCATCCTCTTCTCTGGCATCATCTACACCTACGGGCATGTCCTCTGGAAGGCCCATCAGCATGTAGCCAGCTTGGCTGAGCACCAGGACAGGCAAGTGCCAGGAATGGCCCGGATGAGGCTGGATGTGCGGTTGGCCAAGACCCTGGGGGTGCTGGTGGCTGTGCTCTTCATATGCTGGTTCCCGGTTCTGGTCCTCATGGTCTACAGCCTGGCCACCACTCTAAGTGACCAGGTCAAGAAGGTCTTCGCCTTCTGCTCCTTACTCTGTCTTGCTAACTCGATGGTCAACCCCATTATCTATGCCCTGAGGAGTAGGGAGATTCGCAGCTCGGCAGACCACTGCCTGGCCCACTGGAAGAAGCGCCTGAGGGGCCTCGGGCCTGAAGGAAAGGAAGACTTCCCGCGGTCCTCAGTCACTGAGACAGAGGCTGATGTGAAAATCACCCAGGGGCCAGACTCCAGAGTTCTATACTGCTCTGATCGCTGATGAGGCCTCCTTCACAGTTTTAAACAAGCCAAGTCAGAAATCATTTCACTCCCTGGAGGAGATTTCATGGCCTTGACCCTCTTATCTTGCTTAAACCAACCCCAGAGGTCTGGACACTTATCCCCTTCTACTGATGAGTGTTGGCACTGACCCCTGAAGGGTAGCCTGGCCATGCCCATCTGCACACAGTTTATGAGGTGTGGTAAGGTGGGCAGGAGGCAAGAGGTCTGAGACAGGCTCAGTGCAGGTCAGGACAACCGTCCCAACATGTCAGCTTAGAGCCTGCATTCTCCAGAGCCCACAGGAGCCAGGAGGAGCTTTCAGGCTCAGCAGAGAGGGACTCAGAGGAAATCTGAGAACATCACTCTCCTGGGGTTTCAGGGTATCAGATGGGATGGCTGGCCAGCCCTTCTTCCTGCTTAATTGTTGGGGCCACCTTGGTTCTGGAGCTATGAAAGGCCCTACCTCCTGGTCACTCTTTCCCAGAGAGGACCAAGAGCTGTGACGCCATGAGGATCAAGCATGTTAATCCACCTCTTGCAGAGGTAACTGACAAGCCTCCATCAGGGCATCTTATTATTACAGCAGTGGCCCTCTCTGACACTCTGATAATCACAACTCACAACCATTGTGTCCTCTTAGGTACCTGGGTAATACAGAGGTGGTTGAAATCACTTGAGACACAGAATCCTCTGAGAATTTTACTCATCTTGTGAAGTCCTACTCGGAGGTACCCCTGGAAGCAGGCAGTGTCCCATTCTAACCCAATTCCAAGAAAAGGGAAGATATTCACAAAGATTTTATTATCCCCAAATTGTTCCCAGCCATCTCTCAATTCAGCTCCTTTGTCTCCTCCACACTCCTATACCCTTCAATGAATAATAAACAAAGCTAATAGGAGGAGAGGAAAGTTCCCTTACTATGTGCCAGGCATAGGACTGACATCTCACAGTTCATTATTTCCAGCAAGAAAACAGCCCCATGTTTTGAAGATTCCAGGACACCCATATTTTACATATCAGGGAGGCTGAGTTCCTACTGGAAGGGCTTAAAACAGTAGGCAAGAGAAATTGTTGATGGAGGGAAGAATTGCAGAGGAATTCTAATGCAATTCTTTGGGACCACAGATGGAATAAAATGAAAGATATTGATTAATCTTGTCTTCATTTAATACTTACAGGTGTCCACTATTCATTCACTCATCCACCCATCTCATAAATAAGTGCCAGGCTCTATGCTGGGTCCCAGACGTCCAGCCACAAGTGACAGTCTGCCCCTGTCTAATGGGGTTTATATTCCGCATTCTGCTGGGAAGAGCGCCAATAAATAAAGAAGATAATTACTGGTGTTACAATGAAGAAAATCATCTGGATCATGGGATAGGGATTAAATGAGGCAACTTTAGGAAGAGTAGGCCTACTATGTGCTCTGGTCACTAAAGTTGGCTGGTTTTTACTGAGGTTTTACTATGTGCCAGGCACTGGGCTAAATGTTTTTAAATGAAATGTTTCACTTAATCTTCACAATAACCTGATGAAGAGTGTTTTGGTATCCTCACTTTATAGATGAGGAAACCTCTAAGAGGCAAAATCACTTGCTTGAAGTCACACTGCTACTATGTACTCAAAGCTGGGGTTTTCAACCCAGTTCTGTTTGACTCCAAAGCCTGCCCTCTTCACTGCTAGTTTAGTCAAATTCTGCTTGATTAGGATAGTAATAATAAATCTATAAATAATAATGAGTTGAATGATAAAAGTCTAATAGTGATAAATATGTATAAATATAAAGTATAAACAAGACTTAATAAGTCTAATAATAATATTAGATGATTATAACATCAGACTGCTGCCACCCTAACTCATCACTATTTCCCAACATACTTTATTTTATGCTCTGTATTAATTTCCTGCAACAATTTCCCACAAACTGAGTGGCTTAAGACAACAGAAATTTATTCTGTCACACTTCTGTGGACTAGAAGTCCAAAATCAAGGTGTCAGCAGGGCCATGCTCCCTCCAAAATTTCAAGGAGAGGATCCTTTCTTGCCTTTTCCAACTTCTGGCAGCTCCTGGTGTTCCTTGGTTTGTGGCAACACAGCTCCTATCTCTGCCTCCATCTTCACATGGCCTTTCCCCACCTTTTATCTCTTGGTATCTTTTTATTATTATTATTATTATTGAGGTATAGCTGATTTACAATGTTCTATTAGTTTTAGGTGTAAAACACAGTGATTCAACAGTTTTCTAGATTATACTCCATTTAAAGTTATTATAAAATATTGGCTACTTATAATAAATGCTGGAGAGGGTGTGGCGAAAGGGAACCCTCCTACAGTGTTAGTGAGAATGTAAATTGGTGCAGCCACTATGAAAGACAATATGGAGGTCCCTTAAAAAGCTAAAAGTAGAGTTACCATATGATCCAGCAATCCCACTCCTGGGCATATATCTGGAGAAAACTCTAGCTCTAACTGAAAATACACATGTACCTCAATGTTCATAGCAGCACTATTTACAATAGCCAAGACGTGGAAGCAACATAACTGCCCCAAAACAGATGAATGAATAAAGATGTGGTGTATAATATCCAATAGAATACTACTCAGCCATAAAAAGAATGAAATAATGTCATGTGCATCAACATAGATGGACCTGAAGATTATTATACGAAGTGAAGTTAAGTCAGACAAAGACAAATATCATATGATATCACTTACATGTGGAATCTAAAAAAAATGATACAGTTGAACTTACGACACAGAAATGGACTCACAGACATAGAAAACAAAGTTACAATTACAAAAGGATAAAGAGGGGAGGGATAAATTTGGAATTTGGGGTTAACAAATACACTCTACTATATATAAAATAGATAAACAACAAGGACCTACTGTATAGCACAGGGAACTATATTCAATATCTTGTAATAACCTATAATGAAAAAGAATCTGAAAAATACATATGTATATGTATATGTATATGTATATGTATGTATATGTATAACTGAATCACTCTGATGTCTACCTGAAACATTGTAAGTCAACTATACTGCAATTTAAAAATAAATAAAATAAAATTATAACCTCAAAAAATTGGCTATATTCCTTGTGCTGTATAATATATCCTTGTAACTTATTTATTTTGTACATAGTAGTTTGCACATCTTAACTCCTACCTCTAACTTGCTCCTTCCCCCTTCCCTCTCCCCCTTCTCTCTCTCCACTGGTAACTACTGGTTTGTTCTCTAAATCTGTGAGTCTGTTTCTGTTTTGTTATATTCATTCATTTGTTTTATTTTTTTTAGATTCCACCTATAAGTGATAATATACATTATTTGTGTTTCTGTGTCTGACTTATTTCACTAAGCATAATACACTCCAGGTCCATCCATGTTGTTGCACAGGCAGGAATTCATTTTTTATAGCTGAGTAGTATTCCATTATATATATCTCACATCTTCTTTATCTATTTATCTGTTGATGGGCACTTAGGTTGCTTCCATATCTTGATTATTGTCAATAATGTTGCTATGAACATTGGGGTTCATGTATCTTTTTGAATTAGTGTTTTCATTTTCTTCAGATATATACCCAGGAGTAGAATCGCTGGATCATATGATAGGTCTATTTTTAGGTTTTTGAGGACGCTCCATACTGTTTTCCCCAGTGGCTGCACCAATTTACATCCCCATCAACAGTGTATGAGGGTTCCCTTTTTTCTACATCCTTGATGACATTTGTTATTTGTGACTGGTGTGAAGTGACATCTCATTGTCGTTTTGATTTGCAATTCTCTGATAATTAGTGATGTGGATGGAGCATCTTTTCATGTGCTTGTAGGCCATCTTTATGTCTTCCTTGGTAGCATGTTTACTCAGGTCTTCTGACCATTCTTTAATCTGATTGTTTGTTTTTTTGATACTGAGTTGTAAGAGCTGTTTATATATTTTGGATATTAATACCTTATCAGTCACACCCTTTGCAAATATCTTCTCTCTTTGAATATGTTGTCTTTTCATTTTGTTGATGGTTTTCTTTGCTGTGCAAAAGCTTTTACATTTAATTAGGTCTCATTCGTTTATTTTTGCTTTTGTTTCCTTTGCCTTAGGAGACAGATCCAAGAAAAATGTTAGTATGATTTATGTCAGAAAGTGTTCTGCCTATGTTTTCTTCTAGGAATTTAATGGTTTCCAGTCTTACATTTAGGTCTTTAATCTTGGTGACTTCTTTTAAGGACACTAGCATTGGATTAAAAGCACACTCTAACCTAGTATGATCTCATCTTAATTTGACAATTGTATCTCCAAAGATTCTACTTCCAAAGAAGGCAACTTGCACAGGTTCCAAGTGGACATAAAGTTTGGGAAGACACTCTTCAACCCAGTACAGCCCCCAGGGACAAAGTCCAACCCTCTAATACAACCCATATTGTGGACTGTGTTAAGTGGGAGTCACTGGCGTATCTGCCCCTACGAGATGAGCTCCATGTTCATCTCTTAGTTCCCAGTGTTCTGTGAAGACCCAACATAGAGTCTTAAGGGGGATGGTCAATATCTGTGGAACTGAAATGCTTCTGAAAAGCTTTCGATTGCATTTTGGTAAACTGAATTTTATTGTAACCCCAATACCTATCTTTCTGTAAGGCAAAGAAATGGCATGCTTTTTTAAAGGTGGATTTGGAGCTCCTTAAAGTTGGAACACACCTTTCTTTATTCATTGGTGGGGCCCTTTCTCATTCCAGCAAAGGAAATGCCCAAATGTCTGGCATAAATTGATACTCAGTAAATATTTGTTTAGCAAATATAGTTTAGGAATTGTTGAATTAAATGCACTTCTGCACTTCCTACCCCTCTCCTTTCACAATCACACTCTATTTCTGCTGTAAGTAATGAACTAGAGTTTATGGAGGAAGAGAGCAAGAGGCAAAGGGGACCCTGGATATCACTGAGGCCTGCCCTCATTGATTAGATGACGAAATGGGCCCAGACAGTGGACAAGACTTGCCCAAAGAGACCCAACAAGGTGGTGTCCAATGCAAAATACCTAGGTTTCCCAACTTCCAGTTTTTCCACCCTGCTGTAACACCTCTCATCTGCCCTGCAGATTTAAGTTTTGGTTGAGGCTAAGGAGAAATGAAGGGCACAATGTCCTATTTTATCTCTCCCAAGATGAGTTCTGTAACATCAAAGATCATTACTCACCCTGATCACTAGAAGATGTGTACAGATTTTTTAAGTGTCTGTGCTTACTGTTGGAGACAATATTTCAACATAATCTTGCAAAGGAAGAAACAGAAGATAAAATAGCACGAGCCATTGTGTTTCCTTATCACTCCTAGAATGAGGAAGTTCTTGCTTCTGTCAACACAGACTTTGACACGCTCTCTTGCACCCTCCTGGGTGCATTTGAGAGCAGCATTTGAGAGACAGTCTCTGCATCTGGGTACTGGTCCCATTTCTGACCCAAAGTAGCTGCATGACCTTGGGCGGCTCCGATCCTCTCTCTGGATCTCAGTTTCCTCTTCCATAAAACGGGGAGAGTAAGGAAAGGGATAGTGTCAAGGACCCCCAAAGTCCCTTCCAACTCTGACATGTGGCAGTTCTCTCACTGATGTGTAGGGACCAGCTGTGCCACGAGGGGTCATTAGACCTCTCACACTTGATAGCCTCACCTCCTGTTTGAGCAAGCACAGCATGTACCAATTGTAGTGGAATTTGGTGACGTCCCTGCCAGACAAGGTTCACACAGGTACTCCCTGGGCCCGAGGCTCTCAAGTTGCTCACCCTGTTACTCTTAACATGTTCCTTTGGGGAGGCCTACGCATGAGTCTTGTTTTTCCAACGAGATGTTAAGCTCTTCGAATTGCCTCAGAATCCCAAAGCAAGTTCAATAAACATTAGACGGGCAAAATGGTCACACTTGTTCTTCCTCTTTCAGCGCGCACTTTTCTTCCCACCTCTCCCTTAAAAAGCTTCCTCCCATTATCCTTCCACCCCGTCATTTCTGCCAGTGCTCTTACAATGCCCTTCCATCTGGTATTCCTGCCTCCAGGCTTGCTCTTCTATACTACAGCTCAAAAAGTGTCCTATTGCTCCCAACTGCCAAGTGGACCACTCCCAGTTCTATACACACACCCGGCCTTCCACACCCACATGA